AGATGAAACTGTACCAAGATATGTAACATTTGAGTTTTCATATATTGGGTGAGGTTTTTAATTACTATTTTTTTTATTTCCTACAAATATTTACAAAAAGACCATCTTGCTGGCCTAGAGCTAGCAAAACATCAATTTCAAAAAGTGAAATCTCGCCAGGTGTGGTGGCTCACACCTGTAATCCCAGCACTTTAGGAGGCCGAGCTGGGCAGATCACTTGAGGTCAGGAGTTCAAGATCAGCCTGGACAATATGTGAAGCCCTTTCTCTACTAAAAAATACAAAAATTAGCTGGGCATGGTGGTGCGCACCTGAAGTCCCAGCTACTTGGGAAGCTGAGACAGAAGAATCGCTGGAACCCAAGAGGCGGAGGTTGCAGTGAGCCAAGACTGCGCCACTGCACTCCAGCCTGGGCAACAGAGCGAGACTCCATCTCAAAAAAGAAAATGAAATAGTGAAATCTGGATATCTATTCCTTGCTCTCAAATGAGTCAGAAAAACATAATTATACACATACATGCATATATACATAAAGGAAGAGTAAGGCAAACATGGTATAATGTTAATGCTTGAGGAATCTGGATTAGTGTATTCAAGGGGACTTAGTATTATTCTTGAAACTTTTCTGTAAATTTTAAGTTATTTCATAAAAATTTATAACTTAGGATCTTGTCATATGAGTAATAGGGTAAATGATGATTTTTATAAGAACATTTATTTTCTATCCTGTGAACTTTTTTTTCATATCTTTGGCCTGCTTTGTATTTAGATTTTCACATCTACCTTATTCATTTCTAATAATTCTAATCCTATGAAGTCTTTATCTGATTTGATAGTTCCTCAGAAAGCCATTTGCCTTTTCACTTGAGTCTATGTGATATTTCACATGATGTAATCAAATCTATCTGATGTTTCCATGAAGTATTTTGCTTTTATCCTATGGTTGTAAAGCATTACTTATCTCAAGTTTACATATCCACCTGCATTTGCTTCTGGTTTGAAAAAAACAAAAAGAGGAGAAGGAGATAGAGATGTATAGTATAGTAGAACGGAGAAATTATTTATATATTTCCTAATCTGATGCTCAATTTAAATGAGAAAATAATTCTGATGAATTTTATCTTTTAAAATAGATTTTAACCTTTTTAACGTGACTGTGTGCTTTATCTCTGTGATAGCTGTGTAGTTACCACAAAACGAAAAGATTAAAGATGTAGACATAACATATGCATGAAAAAATTTTTTTCAAATGTTTAGACTAAAATGTTTTACAGATGTAACACTTTTGTTAAACTTTCTCTGTATATTGGGTGATATTTAAATGTAATGTGAACCTAAAATTTTATCTGGGATGTGCCACAATCTAACCGTATCCATGGCTTTTATGAGTTAGACATAAACTTGTTATGTGGAAGACAACGAATATCAACGAATATTCAGGAAGTCAGAGAAATCTAAAGCTATTCTATGTAAATATCCTGAATCGAAGTTTTCCATTTAGTAACAGTATACCACTGTGGTTGAGGCTGCTGGCTTTAGCTCTAACAAGATGGGTTCAAATTGTGGCTATGCTGTGAAATAGTTATGTGATCTAAAGCAAGTTATTTAATGTCTCTGTACTTTGGTTTCCTCATCTGTTAGCTAAGATACCAATACTTATTAACTCATGGGATTTGGGGAAAGATAAATGAGTCAACACATGTAAAACATTTGGAATTGGGACTGCTCCATCAAAGTACTCAATGCATTAGCTATTTTTTGTAATTATGTCATGTATTTTAGTCTCATCTAAAAACTATGTCTGCATTTTGGTCAAAGGGAATAAAAACTATAAAGAATTTAAGTTTAAAACCTCAGAAGTCAGGGTTCCATTGTTATTCTTCACTAAGTGTATGGCTTTTATGCACCCAGCAACAGAGCAGATAAATAACACAAAAACTACTGGGAATGCAGGGATAACATCGTTAAAAATACATAAGCACTGAAGCTTTTCATAATCCTTTTTCAGTATCAAACAGTCCAAGTATACCAAAAAATAAAAACATAAAGAAAAATACAATTAACAAACTTAAAAGCAATAGTATGAATACTTACATACCTAAATAGAGAATGTACATTTTTACAGTAATAGAACATGTACAAAAATCTACCAGGTACCTATTCACACAGAAATCATAAACTTATTCAAAATAGTGTGGCTAATGCTCTTTTATCACGATTCCACCAAATCAGAAATAAAAGTAAAATAATAATGAAACGTGTTAAACACTTAAGAATTAAGAACTCATTGATAGTATGGAGATTCCTTAAAGAACTAAAAGTAGATCTACCATTCAGTCAAGCAGTCCCACTACTGGGTATTTATCCAAAGGAAAAGAAGTCATTATATGAAAAAGACACATAAGCAAAGCGTGATGCCTCATGCCTGTAACCCCAGCACTTTGGGAAGCCGAGGGAGGGAGAGGATCACTTGAGCCCAAGAGTTCAAGGCCAGCCTAGACAACACAGTGAGATCTCATTTGAATTTAAAAAGAAAAAGACATATGCGCAGTCATGTTTATAGTTTATAGCAGCACAATTCACAATTGCAAAGACATGGAACCAATCTAAGTGCCCATCAACCAATGAGTGGATAAAGAAAATGTAGTATATATACACCACAGAATACTACTCAGTCATAAAAATAAATAAACTAATGTCTTTTGCAGCAACTTGGATGGAACTGAAGGCCATTAATCTAAGTGAAGTAACCCAGGAATGGAAAACCAAATTCCGTTATGTTCTCATTTATAAGTGGGAGCTAGGCTATGAGGATGCAAAGATGTACATAATAAATTTTGGGGACTCTGGGTGGGAGGAGGGAAGTGAGGAGTAAAAGACTAAATATTGGGTACAGTGTACACTGCTCAGGTGATGGGTGCACTAAAATCTCAGAATTCACCACTACAGAATTCATCCATGTAACCAAAAACCACTTGTACCCCAAAAGCTACTGAAATTTTTTAAAAAAGAATTCATTGATAACCCATGGGTAGAAAGACATCAAAACAACTTATATCAATGTTACCGATAAAAGAACACTTCAATCCAAAAAATGGGATACCATGACAGTTATACCAGCAGAAATATTGCATCCATCTTAACCCTTTTATTCAAAAAAGAAAGTGATTTTTTTTTTAGAGACAGGGTCTCCCTCTGGCACCCAGGCTGGAGTGCAATGGCACAATCATAGCTCACTGTAACCTCAAACTCCTGGGCTCAAGTGATCCTCCCACCTCAGCCTCACAAGGAGCTGGAATTATGGGTACAAGCCATCAAGCCTAGCAGAACTCAGAAATCTTAATAAAGAAATTTATTAGTACTTGTTTTAGTCAGCTCAGGCTGTTGTAACACTCATTTCTCACAGTTCTAGAAGCTGGGAAGTCTGAATCAGAGCACCTGCATGGTGACGGTCCTGGTGAGAGTTCTCTTCCTGGCTTGCAAATGGAAGTCTTCTTGCTGTGTCCTCACATGCAGAGAGAGAGAGACAGAGAGAGAGAGAGAGAGAGAGAGAGAGAGAGACAGAGACAGAGACAGAGACAGAGACAGAGAAAGGCAGAGAGAGAAAAGGAAATATCTCTCATGTTTCTTCTTCTAAAGGTACTAATCCCATCATGAGGGCTCTGCCTTCACAATCTAATCACCTCCCAAAGGTCCCATCTCCAAATACCATTATATTGGAAGTTAGGGCTCCAATATATGCATGGGGTTGGGGGAGGGACAAGGAACACAATTCAGTCTACAGAAGTACCCTTAGTAAAAATGTTATAAAATCAGAAAAATAATAGAAGAAAATAAGCCCAAAAAGATGAAATATAAAATTGGTCAAGAAAAAAGTTCAATGTAATGAAATAAAAATAAACTATAATAGCCAATATAAACAACCTAAAAGCTTATACTTTTAAAAGCTCTATAGAGAAACCCCTTTTGAATCTCTTTGTGTAAAAAACATTTGTGCATGTGTGTGTATGTCTATATCTGTGTGTGTATGATTAAAAACAAGAAAAAAATGCATTCCTGAGAAATTAAAATAATTATTTAAGACTGTATATAAGTACAGGGCAACCAATCTGCCAACTTATAGAAAAGAGATCATTCCCTAGAGAAATATAAAAGTTATTAAAAACTAATCCAAATAGAAGTAGAAAGCTTGAATAATTTCCTTAGAAGAGTTTGAAAGAAGAATTTAAAAGCTATCATTTTTAAAGAAAACAGAACCAAGTGATTTCACCAATGAGTTCCATCTAATTTCTAAGATGCATGGAATTCTAGTATTATTTAAACTATTTCAGGTCATAGAAAAATATTAAAATCTCTACAATTTACTTTGGAAGTTAACATTATCTTAATACCCAAACCTGACAGTGGACCAAAAATACACATAATTCAATGCCATTAAATAAAATATAATTTCCAGCAATATATCAAAAATGTTTAATAGTTTACTCAGTAGAGTCCATTCCAGGAATACAAGAATGGACAAATATTAAGAAAGGTGTCTTCATAATTAATTACATCAAAAAACTGAAGATTAAACCATATAACTATAATAATGAATGACAAAAAGTATTTCATAAAAACTTAATGATTCCTAATAAGAACTAGGTAATTCAGTAACCAAATAATAGTATTTAAATAAGACAATGCTTCTTAACAAAACACATTAATACATAATAAAAATAATCCTTAGACTTCTCTGATGAAATATCTAAGAGACTCAATATAGCCAAATGCCTCAACTACAGTAAAATTTGGCAGTAAGAGAGAAATTACAAATTTAAAATTTAATATATATATATTCAAACTCATAAACATACATATATATCTATGTACTATATATTCACACACAGAAATACCACTAAATTCATATATAAAAATGCATATGTATCCCTTCACAGAAAACATACACAATATACCTAATTATACATTTATATTTATTCTCTGTTAAAATTACTAGTTTACCTGTTTGGGATGTCGGAACAAGGAATTCTTATAGAAAATGTCCTTAGCCTGGCTCCATGTACCATCAATGATGATGATTGTAGAAGGATAAACAGGAGAATCTAATATAAATTCTTCCAAATTAGCAGCTTCAGCCCCCGGATATAATATTAATGTACCAGACTTCCGGCAAACAGTTGAAAGTTCAGAATCTCTGAAAAAGTTTTTTAAAAATGTATCTTTATAAGCTTGTGAGGAAAAAAGGTTTTATTATGCTTATTGAATTTCCTAATAAAAGTTTCCCTATATCTAGTCATTTGTCTAATGAAATATAGGTATTAGTTTATAAAGTATGAATTTAAAACACTCAAAATTTTGTGTACTCTCTACTGATTTATTCACCACAATTCTGCCACTCACCTCTAGGCTTTCCAATCCTCACTATTCTTCTATTCTTCTCTATTAAAGCTTTTCTATCCAACTGCCAGTGACATAACTTTAGCCCTTCCAAAGAATTCTTCCTTTTCTCACTAATATTTCATGTGTAATCTGATCCACTTTATCAAAGTAAACAACTGGCATTGCCTAACAATCCTAGCACAAACAATCCTAACAATCCCAGGGTAAAATCTAGTAGCAATGGAAGAATCATAAAGAAAAGTTAGGTTGCACAGGCAAGCCACATTCTCAAATTCACCTTTGTTAAAGTCAACTAAATATGGCCTGAGAAGGATTCCATACTTCTAAATTTGAGTCCTTGTGGATGAAACCTAACCTATCTTAATAGGCAGACAAGATTGAACATCTAACTTAGGAGTACGCACCTGTAACAATGGCTGAGTCTTGGCCAATCCCAGTGGCCACACTTCAACCACTTACAGACTGCTAAGTGTTCAAACTGTGTTCAAATAAGGCACACCCCAACCTGTAACCAATCCAGCTGTTTCCATACCTCACTGCTGATTTCTGTATGTCACTTCCCTTTTTTTTCCTCATCTACAAATTTGTTCTGACCACAAGGCATCCCTGGAGTCTCTCTGAATCTGCAGTGATTCTGGAGGCTGCCCGATTCACAAATTGTTCATTGCTCAATTAAATACCTTTAAATTTAATTTGGCTGAAGTTTTTCTTATAACACCTTATATGATCTATTGAAGGAAACCAAAATATTTCACTTCAAAATATACTTATTTGACATACGTTGAGACGGCTGTTTAGAGGGCTTGCAAACAGCAGTAGCCTTGAAAAGCGGTTGCATCTGTAGAGAAAAACAGATGGCAGCCAGGCTTTCTCTGAGGACCTTCCCTTGTCCAGATTTAGGAAATAATAACTGAAAGTCTGACAACCTTAATTGTCTGAAAGAAATATTTACCCTCTATTCTCTATGAAGGCTGCTATCTGTGCAGTTTCATCTGCATAACAAGACCACTTGAGCTAGCCAGGCCTCCTCTTCTTCCCGTTCCATGTGTTTTTGCCATAATAACCGGCTTTGCCAGGCTCTAAGCCCCTATTCTTTCTGTAAACCTCAAGATGACATAAAAGCATCAACCATCTGGCCATTTCTTTGAGTTCTTATATCTCATAAGACTCCCTTACACGTTAATAAATTTGTATGCCTTTTCTCCCTTTAATTTGTCTTTTGTCAGATGATTTTCAGCAGACCTTCAGAGGGTGAAGAGCAAGGTTTCCCTCGGCCCCTACACCATCATCCAGTTCAATTATAGAGTTTATTGGTTCAACATCCATTCAAAAATGTGTCAAAGCTTTTTGGTACTGGAGATAAAACAATGAATGAGACACCCTTTGCCCACAAGCAAAAAAACAAAACATTAAGGGGAAAGTAGACAAATTATCATTGTTCTTGGAAATATAATTTCGACTTCCAATTTCAGCTCAGAAATAAAGAGCTTGAAAGTCATCAAGCCCATCTTCACAAGAAAAATGCTGACAAACTGAAAATTAACAACTTTTCTTAGATCCATCAGAGAACTGAGGCCCCAGGGCAAAAACTCCAAAAACCAGAGGAAAAAAAAAGTAACCATCTCGAAATAGCCCACAGCATTCTCCATAACAAAGGCCTTTCCCTCAAAAGAAACTACTTACCACAGCTTTTTTCTACCTATTATTTAACCACAAAAAGAAATTAAGTACTAATGTATGTTACAACATACGTGTTACAACCTTGAAAACATTATGCTAAGTGAAAGAAGCCAGTCACAAAAGTCCAAATACATTATTTCATTTATATGGAATATCAAATATCAAATATGAATATCAAATAGGAAAATCAATAGAAACACAAAGTAGACTAGTGTTTGCTTAGGATTGGGAAGGTGCAGGGAATTGGAGAGGATGGAGGGCATAGGGATAGGTAAGTAATAGTTAAAGGTAGAGGGTTTCTTTTTGAGGTGATGACATATTTTAAATTGGTGATGGTTGCAAATATCTTTGGATATACTAGAAACCAATTAATTTGTACATTTTAAATGGGTAAGTTAAATGGTATGTGAATTACATATCAATAAAACCCTTTCAAAAAAAAAAGGGAGAAAGATATATGATAATATTAATCAAAAGATAATTCTAGGCCAGGCACAGTGGCTCACCCCTGTAATCCCAGCACTTTGGGAGGCTGAGGCAGGAGCACTGCTTAAGCCCAAGAGTTCAAGACCAGCCTAGGCAACACAGTGAGACCCCCATCTCTCCAAAAACGTTTAAAAATTAGCCAAGCATGGTGGCGTCCACCTATAGTCCCAGCTACTCGGGAGGCGGAGGCAGGAGAATCGCTTGAGCCTGGGAAGTCAAGGCTGCAGTGAACCATGATTGTGCCACTACACTCGAGCTTGGGCAACAGAATGAGACCTTGTCTCAAAAAAATAAAAAAAGGTAACTGCAGTAGCTATATTAACTACAGACAAAGCAGACATCAGAAGGAAAATTATCAGGATGAAGAGAGGAATTACATAATGACAAAAGAGTCAATTCTCCAAGAAGACACAAAAATCTTTTAACATGTATGTACTTAACAATTCACTGTTCACAATATCTAAGGCAAAAACCAATAGAACTGAAAAGATAAATAGACAAATCCAGTAATATAGTTGGAGACTCAGTACAACCTTGTCAGTAACTGGTAGATCAAGCAGGCAAAAAATCAATAAGGATATTGTTGGCCTGAACAGCATTATCAATCAACTTGATCTAATTGATATTTATAGAATAGTTCACCAACAACAAAATACACATTCCTCTCAAGTTCACATGAAACACTCACCAAAACAGACCACATTCTGGGCCATAAAACATACCCTGACAAATTTAAAATAGAAATCATACAAAGTATGCTCTCAGACTACAATGGAATTAAATTAGAGCCAGAAAACTTGCTGGAAAACTCCACAATATTGGAGAATAAGCAACACACTTCTAAATAAACCATGGGTCAAGAGATAAGTCTCAAGGGAAATTTTTAAATATTTTGAACTAAACGAAAATGAAAATACAACTTATCAAAATGTGTAGGATGCAGCAAAAGCACTGCTTAGAGGGATATTCATAGTATTAAAATGCACATATTAGGAAAGAGGAAAGACCTGAAAATCAACAGTCTGAGCTCCCTCCTTAAAAACACAACAACAACAACAACAACAAAAGTTAGATAGGGCCGGGCATGGTGGCTCATGCCTCTAATTCCAGAGGCAGGAGGGTCACCTGAGGCCAGGAGCTCAAGATCAGCCTGAGCAATGTAGCAAGACTCTGTCTTGACCAAAAAAAAAAAAAAAAAAAAAAAAAAGGCTAGAGAAAGAAGAGCAATTTAAGCCTAAAGCAAGCACTGAAAAAAGAAAAGAAAGAGTAAAACCTAAGATGGAAATCAATGAAGTTCAAAATAGGAAGACAACAGAGAAAATCAATGAAACCAAAAGCTGACTGTTACAGAAGGAATTGTGTCCTCCCCAAAATTCAAATGTTGAAGTCCTAACCCCTAGTAGCTCAGAATATGATGGTATTTAGAGACTGATAAATCACCTTTAAAGAGGTGATGAAGTTAAAATGAAGCCATTAGGGTGTTCTCTATTCTAATCTAACTGGTATGGTTATAAGAGGAAATTTGGATACAAAAGAAGAGATGGCAGGGGCACACCTGTTCAGAGGGACAACTATGTGAACAAGCAATGAGAGGGCAACCAACCACAAGCCAAGGAGAGGCCTCAGGAGAAACCAAATCTACTGACCTCTTGATCTTAAAGAGTTCTAAATTCAAGAACTGTGGAAAATAAACTTCTCTTTGGCCACCCAATATGTGGTATTTTATTATGACAGTCCTAGCAAATTAATACACTGGTTCTTTGAAAAGATCAATTAAATTGATAAAACTACACCTAAGGTAATCAAAAAAAAAAAAAGAGCAAAGACACAACTACCAATATCAGAAATAAAAAACGGTGATCATTACTGATTCTATAGTCATTAATAATAAAGAAATACTACAAAAAACTCAATGCCCACAAATTTCATAGTTCAGAGGAAATTAATTCTTTGAAAAACAAACTATCAAAACTCACACAAGGAGAAACAGGAAAACTGAAAAGCTCTATGTCTATCAAAGAAATTGAATCAATAATTAATAATCTTCTAAAAAACAAATCACCAGGCCCAGGTGGTTTCAGCAGTGAATTCTCTCAAACATTTCAAGAAGAAATGGTATCAATTCTCTACAATCTCTTCCAGATAATAAAAACAGACAGAACATTGCCTAATTCATTCCATAAGGCCAGCATTACCCTCATATCAAAACCAAATAAAGGCATTACAAGAAAGGAAAACTATAGATCAATATCCCTTATGAACATAAACACAAAAATTCTCAACAAAATACCAGCAAATTAAATCCAATGATGCATAAAAACTTATCTACCATCACAAATCAGATTTATTACAGGGATGGAAGACTGGTTTAACATTCAAAATCAATAAATGTAATCAACCACATCAATGGACTAAAGAAGAAACATCAAAGGACTGTACCAATTCACAAATAAAACGTACTTGACAAAACCCAAAGCCCACTCATGAGAAAAATTCTCCACAAACTAGGAATAGGGGAGAATGGCCTCAATTTAATACAGAACATTTGCAAAATACCTATAGCTAGCATTATACATAACAGTTCTCTAAGACTGAGAACAAAACAAGGATGTCCTCTCACCACTGCTATTCAACCCCTAGCTACTGAAATAAGAAAAGGGAACAAAAGACATACAAATTGGAAAGATGAAATAAAACCATATATATTCCTCAGACGACCTAATCATCTATATAGAAAAGTCCACAGAACTGACCAAAAAAATAAAAATTAAAAAAAAATAACCTCCAAGAACAAGTAAATAAGTACAGCAAGGTCACAAGATATCAGGTTAATATACAAAAGTCAACTGCTTTCCCATATACCAGCAATGAAAAATTCACATTTGTAATTGTTTTAAATACCATTAAAATAGCCCTCCAAAAATGAAATTCTTAGGTGTGAATCTAATAAAATATGTAAAGTACCTGTATGTGAAAAACTACAAAACACTGATAAAAAGCAAAAAGGACCGGGCACAGCAGCTCACATCTGTAATCCTAGCACTTTGGGAGGCCAAGATGAGAGGATCACCTGAGGTCAGGAGTTTGAGACCAGCCTAGTCAACATAGCAAGACCCCATCTCAATTTATTTTTTTAAAAAAATTATGTTTATATGAATGAACAAAAAGGTTTAAAATCTGTTATCTAATCTTCTACTAAAAAAAAAAAGAAAAAAAGAGAAATTAAATCCGAAGCCAGAAAAAAACTGACAATGAAGAGTAGAAATCAATTAGAAAATCAAACAGAGAAAAATACAAAGCCAAATCTTGGTTCTTCAAAGAGATCTACCAAAACAGACTAAGAAAAAAGAAAAGACACAAATTACCTAAATCAGGAATTAAAAGAGGCTACCACTACAAATTCTACAGACATGAAAATAACAATAAATAAATGCTACAAGCAACTTTATGACAATAACTTCAACAATTTAGATAACTTGTACCATTTCTTTGAAAGGTACAAAATATAAAAACTGACACGAAAATAAATAGAAAATACGAAATTCCTATGTTTAATAAATGAATTATATTTGTAAGAAAAAAACCATCCCACAAATTATAATATGACCAGGTGGGTTTGATCTTAGAAATAGAAGGGTTTTAACATGCAGAAATCAATCAATATAACACACTATATTAACAGAATTAAGGACAGAATCTACATGATCATTTCAATAGATGGATTTCACAAAATTCAACAAATACCCATTCATAATTAAAACTCTCTGCACTTTAGAAACTGATAAATTACACTGTATAACATGGTTATTAGCGTTAACAGATTGTATACTTGAAAACAGCCATGAGGGCAGGTCTTAAATGTTATCAGTGCAAAAAAAAAAAAAAAAGTAAAACTATTGTTATAAATTTGTTTAATACAGTGGTTGCCTTGACATCCATTTTAGGCCTGACATAAGTTATCCGTAATCCAGCCAACCCTGTCACCTTTGGCCTAGTTAAAACTTTCCCTCCCTGTGTGGTGTTTGCCATATAGCCTACTTGTTCCTCACTAATCCAAAACCCAACACATCCCATAGCTGCTGACCACAATAAAACCCAGAGTCATATGAATAATACCAGAGTCATATGAATAGGCTCCCCCTTCACATTGTTCTCTTTAAACTAGCCAGTCCACAACCCACAGGGAAATCCCAAGGGATAATCCCCACAGACCTTAATAAAGGCATAATCCCACAGGTCTCCTCTTCCCGCCCACCCAGCGGCTGAATCCCCTATTTCCAGACTTCCCTTTGACCTCACATTGGCATCCTAACCTCTCTGGTATCTGTGTGTAATAAACTTCTTTCCTTTCATGCATTTTGGCTTCACTTCCTCATTGTGTCTCTTCTGACACAGCCATACTATAGTATTCTCAACATTATTGAACGTTTTAAACAAATCTTAACTGTGTGAGGTGATAAATGTGTTAATTAGCTAGACTGTGCTAATCATTTCACAATGTACACATACATCAAAATATCACACTGTACATGATAAATATAACTTTTATCTATCAATTATCCTCAATAATGCTTGGGGGGAGAAACATACAGCTAATATCATAGTTAATAATGTCCACAGAGTTTGGGACCAAGGTAAAGATGTCGGCTTTCACCACTTCTAATAAACATTATACTAAAAGTATCAGTTATTGCAATGAGGCAAGGAAAAATAAAGGATAAGTATCAGAAAGGAAGAAATATAAATGATCCCATTTGCAGATGACAATGCTGCTTACATAGAAAGTTCCAGGGAATCTACAAAACAATTTCTACAACTAACAGATGAATTTAGGAAGTTACTGGATACAGGGTTAATATATAAAAACCAATTGTTTTCTTACATACTAGAGGCAAAAATTTACAAAGGACACCAAAAGCAGTATGTCTCTTAATCATTCCCCCACGATTTCATCATGTACTCTAACAAAAGCCTAAATTAATCATTCAGTTACCACATTTATATTGACAGTTCTAATCTGCTTTAATTTAAAATTCATCAGCAAATAATAATTTATTGGCTGGGCACAGTGGCTCATGCCTGTATTCCCAGCTGCTCAGGAAGCTGAGGTGGGAGGATCCCTTGAGCCCAAGAGGTGGAGGTTGCAGTAAGCCAAAATTGCACCACTGCACGCCAGACTGGGCAACAAAGTGAGATCCTGCCTCGAAAAATAATAATAATAATAATTTACTAAGTAAGCACTATATTAGGCACCATAGGGAGAAAAAAAACTGAACTAAATCTAATACAAGAACCCTACCAAAAAAAAATGTTGTGGAAGATATTTAAAAAAAAAAAAAAGAACCCTACCATCTACTAACTGGAAGGCACTTTTAACAAAAATGATATAAGCACCAAGTATATTTGCCTTTTAAGTTAAACATACTTTAAGTTAAAACATACTTTTAAGTTAAATATTCCTTTGCTTACACATTATTTATTTTTTTATTTCTGATTTTGTTTTGTTTTGTCTTGTATTATTTTGTGTGGTCGGGGGTTAGCAGAACTTAAATTTTTTGACTAATTTCCACTCTTTAGACCATGAATAACCCGAAAGAAATGAATAAGCTGAAAGAAACCATTTTTAAAGATCTGTGTAGAAAATAATTATTTACATTGCCCTAACAGTTAATTTACCTTTCTTCACTGAAGCGACGACCAATCTTTACTTTACACTTGTCCTGGGGGAGGCATGCTGCTAGTAGAGGAACTGTACGCAACACTTTGTTTTCCTTTAATTAAAAAATGAATTGAAACATAGATTTTTTACTTAGATATACACACTTTTAAATATTTTATAATGAACATCTGATTCATAACTTTATGTATAACTTTTACAAGTCTTTTACTAAAGACCACAGTTTAATAAAAAGAGGTAAAATTTCTCCGATTTATCAGTATTAACCATAACACAAGCATACCTTTTTATTCTATTTGGGTATGTTTACGGGTTTACTGATCAAAGAAGATTACATTAATATATATAATGATTAAGATTATTAAAATGTAAATTTGTGTTTAACTAAATTGAATCATTTATTCTGACAAGTTTTTCATTTCACAAGTAATTACATTTTGCACTATGTCAGCTTGAAGATAATTGCCTAGATCTTTATGCCCAAACAGCAAGGAAGTGCTCAGAAAACAAAACAATGGGTTCTTCCCAGCATAGCCTCTTTATTTAAATTAAAAATTTTTTTAAAAAAGGAAAACAAACAATGTGGTATGTCAAAGGGACATAGAAGTCCATCTTAAAGAGCTCCCAATGGCTAAAACTGAACAATCTGAGCAACAAAATAAATAACACAGTACTGGATTATAACCCAAAGTACAAATTAAGAGTCCCGAATGATATAAATAAATGACTTAATAAACAAATGGGGGAGAAGAAACAAATCTTCCTTACAAAAGAATTCCAAATAATAAATGTAATTACTACCCCCTCCAGAAGGTGGAGCTTAATCTCTTCCTCCCACTTGAGTGTGGGCTGGATTTATGGCCTTCCTTCCAAAGAATATAGAGTATGGAAAGAGAACAAAAATAATAACTTTAGAGTGGAGAAATCTGGTGGCCATTTCTGAAAATGCCATTAACTTGACTGTCATTAGTGGTTTCTTCAATGTCCTAGCTTCCAACACTGGAAACCATCTTTCTTGTTGCCACGAGAATTCTACCTTGAATCCCATAGAGCCATGTGATTAGTTACTCTGCCTTAGGTGGTTTTAGGACATTTTCCAATGTTTAATACAGTGTTCTTCTCCCCTTACCATCACCATGAGACTGTGACACAGACTTAATCACTTTCTAAACCTTTATCAAAGTAATACATGTATATATGTCAAATTAAATAGTGCCAAAAGATTTAAAATGCCACAGTTGTTCCCCAGATGTACTCCCCAGTACCACTTACTGGAGGCAATCACTTTAACTCTTTTGGCTATTTCTTCTGGTAGTTACCTCCATATAACCACATAATAAACATTGTTTTTCTATTCCTTATCAATTTTAGATATTATCCAAAAACTACCAATTATCATCATAACAGCTAATATTAAGGCACACAATTCTAAGTGCAATATACAGAGAGAAATATATCTTTTGTCATATCCATTTTACTAATGAGGAAACTGAAACACAAAGATGTTAATTAACTTGCCCAAAGTTCCATAGTTTATAGAACTATTAAGAATTTGAGCTTGGGCAGTCTAGCTCCACAGCCCTTAAGTACTGCCTCTCATAACAAATGAGGATTTAGCTATCTAACACCACTCCTTCCTCTCACATCTAATATTATTAGTTAAGTCAATAAAGAGTGTTGCATCTTCACGACTAAATATACATTATTCACAAAGGCCAAGTCATTTAACATTTCTTTCTCGTAAAGCTTTTTGTTATTTTTGAGATAGCTTTTCTGTTTTTATCCTTAAGTAATTTTTTATATATGTATACCTACTCGTTGAAATGCTCCATCATATCACCTCCATATCATCTACTCCACCAAGTCTTCTTTTCCCAAAGCCCCCTCCTAAAGCCTATCTAAATGGTTTTTAATAACTTTTTTATGGGAGAGTCAAAAAACTAGCATATCCTTTTATTGGAAATGGTATGCTGAAGTTAAGCACAGGCAGCCCAGTATTAATAAGTTAGATGAAAACCGGAAAATTCCTTTGCTGAGAATGGCTGGGCAGGGTGGCTCATGCCTATAGTCCCAGCTCTTAGGGAGGCAGAGGCTGGAGGATACCTTGAGCCCTGGGTTTGAGACCTGTCTGGGCAATATAGTGAGACCCCATTCTTAAAAACAGAAAAAAATAATAATAGAAAGTTCCTTTGCTGAGAAGGAAAACTGTATGGATACATTTGTATAGGCACAAAATATATTTGTAGCACATACAATGATGAATGCATCATCTAAACCATAGATTAATGGTAAAAAATAAATTAAAAATAAGATATTTGAGGGCGGGCGCAGTGGCTCAAGCCTGTAATCCCTGCACTTTGGGAGGCCGAGACGGGCGGATCACGAGGTCAGGAGATCGAGACCATCCTGGCTAACATGGTGAAACCCCGTCTCTACTAAAAAATACAAAAAACTAGCCGGGCGCAGTGGCGGGCGCCTGTAGTCCCGGCTACTCGGGAGGCTGAGGCAGGAGAATGGCGTGAACCTGGGAGGCGGAGCTTGCAGTGAGCTGAGATCCGGCCACTGCACTCCAGCCTGGGCGACAGAGCGAGACTCCGTCTCAAAAATAAATAAATAAATAAATAAATATTTGAAAACATTTAAAAAAAAAAAAAAAAAGGCCAAGTATGATGGCTCATGCCCGCAATTCCAGTACCGTGGGAGGCTAAGGCAGGAGGATCACTCAAGGCCAGGAGTTCAAGACTAGCCTGGGCAACATAGTGAGACTCCATCTCTACAAAAAATAGAAAGAAAACATTAATATTGCCACAAATCAATGAAAACACCCATATTAAAAAAGCTATCTTATATCTGGAATCACACAATAATGAAAAGGCACCATACTGTGTCTGTTGCAAAATGAACGCAGTACTTACCATCACATCTCAAGTGGTTTGGGGTTTGGTTTTGTTTTGTTTTTTAAGATAGGGTCTTGCTATATAGCCCAGGTGGGAGTGCAGTGTCACAATCATAGCTCATTGCAGCCTAAAACTCCTGGGCAGAAGGGATGCTCCCACCTCAGCCTCCCAAGTAGCTAGGCCTATAGGCATGTGCCACCACACGTGGCTAATTTTTTTATTTGTTTATAGAGATGGGGTCTCACTATGTTGTCCAGGCTGGTCTCAAACTTGTGGGCTCAAGTTATCCTCCTTCTTCAGCCTCCCAAAGTGCTTGAATTATAGGCATGAGCCACCACTCCCAGCCTCAAAAGTCAGGTTTTAACCAAAACTGCTATGGCCAGCAAGCTATCATTTTACATAAATTTTGAGCTGTACAATGTTTTAAGTTTAAATGCAGTAAAATAGTGCTAGTGACCAAAATTGTCATAATCCTGACAAAAGCATGATGCTGTTAAGACTGAGAAAAAGGTTAGGCCAGGCGCGGTGGCTCATGCCTGTAATCCCAGCACTTTGGGAGGCTGAGGCGGGCAGATCACGAGGTCAGGAGATCAAGACCATCCTGGCTAACATGGTGAAACCCCGTCTCTACTAAAAATACAAAAAATTAGCCGGGCATTGTGGCAGGCACCTGTAGTCCCAGCTATACTTGGGAGGCTGAAGTAGGAGAATGGCGTGAACCCAGAAGGCAGAGCTTGCAGTGAGCTGAGATCACGTCACTGCACTCCAGCCTGGGCAACAGAGCAAGACTCCAACTCAAAAAAAAAAAAAAAAAAGGCTGAGAAAAAGGTTGCCCACCAAATGGAGTAGTTAGCAATTTGCAATAAAAGAAAAAATGTTTCAAGGCTAAGCCATGAGAATTGTTTGTACGTGGGAGGCAGAGATTGCAGTGAGCTGAGATTGTGCCACTGTACTGCAGCCTGGGTGACAGAGGGAGACCCTGTCTCAATAAATAAATAAATAAATAAATAAATAAATAAATGTTTCATTATTTGAAAGAGATAAAAGATTAATTTCTTTTATACCTCTGTTAAAGTCTTCAAGTGATCCAGACTTGAGAAATTTAAAAAATAATTATTCCTTCTTAGAACGCTTGACGGGGTCTATGATAACCTCAGTTCCTAAATACTGAAAGAGTTTTAACTGTAGTTTACACTAAATATACTTCACAGTATGCATTGAGTAGTTTTGTATTAATTATAACTTCCTCCCCTCTTCATTAAGCAGCTAATCAAAAGTTACAAACACACATACACGCTGGCACATATGTATAATTGTACCTGTACAAGAGAGTATTAATTTTAAAATCTTTACATATAACATGCATTATGAAATATACAAGTTTCTTCTATTCATCTAAAATAAACCAAAAATTTATTTATACATTCACTTTGTAAGAGTAAAATGCCAAAGTTACCTCTACTGTAGCAAGAAAAGACATCAAGGAACATAAGCTATGACCAAAATTTAAAAAGCAATGATTTTCTTAGCTCTTTATTCACAAAATCTCATTATTTCTTCATACAAAATTATTGGAGTTTTACATTTATATACTATTCAGTAACATAGATTTTGTGAAATGTTATCTCTCTCTAGAGCATATGACTCTATACTACCACATGAAATTAAAAAGAAACTATTTTTTTTCCAAAGAGAAAGTATTTATCATCAACTTCTTTTCAGAAATGCTAAAGAGCTGGTAAAGATAAGTATGTTTATCTTCGTGTTTCCTCTTGTGGACTCATATTCTATTCGAAATCATGTATTTTACAAAATCTTACCTCTGCTGGATGCTGAATTATGTACAAGTGGGTAGAGATATGCAGAGGGTGCGCTGGGAGAAATGGACACAAACACACTTTCTGAGGCCGGCTGAAGGGTAAAAAGAAAAATAAAACTGGTAAATTTTAAAAATACAATGATATAACAATTTTTAAAAATGAACTTAATCCCACTGAATTTATACAAAGAGGTTTGCTAAAGCTGCATTCTTTTCAAAATGAAATACCAAAACTGAATTTAATCAATCAGACTTTAGACATGAGAATTTGCAGAAATTCAAGTACATTCTTTACCACTTATATAGATTAACGTACCTCAAAAAAAAAAAAATCTTACCTTAGTTATATTTAGAGAAAGAATACCTATAAGTTATCTGGTCCCTTTATTCAAAAAATGACACTTCTGATTTGCATTCCAAATCAAGAAGAGATCTCACATCAAAGAGAAACCTGGCAACTCTTCTGTATCACTTTAAGTTGAGTAAACAATAAGATGATAAAATATTAAAATATAATTACCATGTAGAGAAAAATACTAATCAAACTTAGCCATCGACCAATACAGAGAGCTTAACAATTGGGAGAAGAAATTCAAATAGACGCCACCAAATTGTATTTGGCTAGAATTATACCAGAAGAGTATTTGCCTTTTCCATTTAACTTACCTTTTCTTACTGTTTGTCATTTTTATTTTACTTACTTTTTAGTGCTTTACTATTGTTTAGGTAACTCTTACACACAATATAAAGTTCGAATAGAATTAAAGGGTATACCTGCTATCTCTGTCCTCCAGCCTACGGTATTCTCTTCCTTTAGGGGCAACCAATGACCGGTTTTTTATGTGTCCTTCCAAAGGTATTGTATGAATAAACATTTATTTTACCATTAAATACTACATTTGGTATGTGTATTTATAATATGAAATTCATGGCCGGGCACGGTGGCTCACGCCTATAATCCCAGCACTTTGGGAGGCTGAGGCGGGTAGATCACCTGACATCAAGAGTTCGAGACCAGCCTGGCCAATGTGGTGAAACCCCATCTCTACTAAAAATGCAAAAATCAGCTGGGCATGGTGGTGGGTGCCTATAATCCCAGCTACTCGGGAGGTGGAGATAGGAGAATTGCTTGAACCCAGGAGACAGAGGTTGCAGTGACCCGAGATTATGCCACTGCACTCCAGCCTAGGCGACAGAGCAAGACTCCATCTAAGAAAGAAAGGAAAGAAAGGAAGGAAGGAAGGAAGGAAGGAAGGAAGGAAGGAAGGAAGGAAGGAAGGAAGGAAGGAAGGAAGGAAGGAATTCATTAGGCAGTCAGATCCCAGATATGGGAGTAAATGTTTCACAAACGATCACAGGCAGGTGTTATAGCCATTACAACAGTATACAAATGAATGCTATATTAAAGGGAATTTCCAATACCATACATACAAGCTGACCACTGTTAACTCTTTCCTCAATTTTACTTATATGGAATTTCAGACTGAGGTTAAGAAATGCTTATTAATAAACCATACAGTGTGGGTAAATTGGCTCAAACATCTGTTAAATACACCCTCTCATTCTGCAAGCAACTGCCAAATCTATGCTCTGGATGAAGAAATTATTTAGATATCTTAGGCAGAAGTAAAATCATATTATACATGACTCCACCTCCTCTTTCCAACCCCACTGAACCTGGAATGGAAGCTTAACCCAAGGAAAATCAATACACCTGATTTCCAGTGACTTCTGAGATGATTCGCTACGATTGTTCTGCCCCACACTGGATTTCCTCTCAGGAATATAAGGAGATTTTTGAGATAGAAAGTCTTTCTGTGGTCACAAGAGTACACACAAAAGAGGGACAGACACCAGTTGATGGGTGCACTGACAAACAGATCAAGCACTGCTATAAGAAAGGATTCCTCACTCAGTAGAAAGTGGAACAGGATAAGGTACATTCAAATTCTAAAAACCGAGATTCTGACTTTTATTATTAAGTTAACCAAAACCAAAAACTAAAATGATTCGAAGAATAAATACATCACAGAACAGAAGAAGCAAGTAAAAACTGATGTTTTTCCAACCTAACCAGGCAAATTTAAATGAAGTATCTATATCCTAATAGTATTTCAATGTGGTGGGTGGGGTAGAGTTTGACTTTGAATTTTTTTTAATAAATCTATTCAAATGTTGACTGAAGAAAAGCTGTTAAGTCCATAAACATTAGCTTCAATCTTTAAAAAAAAAACAGAATCTCACTCTGTCACCCAGGCTGGAGTGTAGTGGCACAAACTCAGCTCACTGCAACCTCTGCCTCCTGGATTCAAGCGACTCTCGTGTCTCAGCCTCCTGAATAGCTGGGATTACAGGCATACATCACCATGCCCAGCTAACTTTTTTTATATTTTTAGTAGAGAGAGGTTTTCACCATGTTGGCCAAGCTGGTCTCGAACTCCTGACCTCAAGTGATCCGCCCACCTCAGTCTCTCAAAGTGCTGGTGAAACAGAAAATTTTCCTTGACCCCTTCCTGGGCCTCAAGACAGGAGTGCCTCACTTACTCAGTCCACAGCTCTCAACCCCTGGTGGGACGGGGAGCAGCAGGTGAGTGGGTGCAGGAGCCAGAGCTAGCACTTTTGGGTGCTGGCAGGAGCAAAACTCCGTGGGCCCCCCCCCCCCACTGCAGTGTCTAGGGGGGTACTCGTGACCCCTGAAGCCCCAGAGGGCATGTGTTACAGTGCTCTTTTAGCTTTGCTGCCCACACCTGTGGCACCCAAGCTCTTGTTCAGCATCCAGTAAAAATCGGGTCACACGAATGCATTGAAGGGTGGTAAATACGGAGGATTTTATTGCCAATGAAAGTGGCTCTCAGAGGGAAGGAGAGCTGGAAGAGGGATGGAGCAGGAAGGTGATCTTCCCCTGGATTCCGACTGTCCCCAGCTGGACTCTCCGAAGCAACACCATTAAGACATCCCTCTGAGGTCAAGCTGCTTTTCTCCAATGTCAAACTGCAGTCGTACCATACAGCTGCCTTTCCTCCTCTCCCTATCTCTTCCCTCTGTCAGTTGAGTCAGGGGTTTTTATGGGTACAGGATGGGGGTGGAACAGGCCATGTGTGGTTTTGGAAAAGACAACATTCGAGCAGGAAAACAGGAATGCACGTTCTCACTTTGGGGCATAGTTCCAGGCTTGAGGGTGGGGCTTTGCCAGGGACCCTGCCCTTTTCTGCCCAGAATTTCTCTGCCTCCTGTTCCTATCACTGGGATTACAGGTGTGAGCCATGACACTCAACCAATTTTAATCTTTTACAGATAAAAGTCCTAACTTGTATCTGTAAAAGATTAAAATGTTATTGGGGCAACACAGAGTGTTTTTACCTAAAAGGTTGATTTCTAACCTTTAGTAGATGAACTACCTATTACGCTATGTTTTTATAATATATATTATCATTCATCAAAAGTGTTATGCAACATTTGTTATTAAAGTGAGTCTAACTTCAATTCATTTCGGGGATTTTTAGAACTATGCAAAACCACAATATAACTTAAGTTCCTCAGTAGTATCACAAAATCAACTTATTTGAACTGCCCTTTTTAAACATTCTACAAAAATTGATAATTTATCCTCAATGGACTCAGTGAAAATGTCAAATAAGATGAATTTTTTTCTTTTTTGAGACAGGGTCTTGCTCTATCACGCAGACTGGGGTGCAATGGCACAATCAAAGCTCACTACAGCCTCAATCTCCCAGGCTCAAACAATCCTCCCACCTCAGTCACCCAAGTAGCATCCGGGACTAGAAGCACACACTACCACATTTGGCTAATTTTTTATTTTTCTGTAGAGACAGGGTCTCACCATGATGCCCAGGCTGGTCTCAAACTCCTGGGCTGAAGCAATCCTCCTGCCTCGGCCTCCCAAAGTGTTGGGATTATAGGCATGAGCCACTGCGCCTGGAATTTTTTTTTTTTTTAATAAATCAAACTGTAATATTTTGGCCTTTTAAAATGCAGCTTTAAATATCTAAATTAACAACCAGGTGTGGTGATTCACACCTGTAATCCTAGCACTTTGGGAGGCTAAGGCAGACAGACCACTTGATCACAGGAGTTCAAAAACAGCCTGGGCAATATAGCAAAACACTGAGCATGATGGTGAGCACCTTTAATCCTACCTATTTGGGAGGCTGAGGTCCGAGGATCACTTGAGCCCAGGAGATTGAGGCTGCACTGAGCTATGACTGCACCACTGCATTCCACCCTGGGTGACAAAGCAAGATCCTGTCTCAAAAAAAAAAAAAAAAAAAGACAGAAAAGAATAGAAAATAGAAATAACTAAATATAACTCTCTATAAAAATCAAGTTATCTTCGTATCTTGGAACTATCACGCACGTCCATGTGAAGAGACCACCAAACAGGCTTTGTGTGAGCAATAAAGCTTTTTAATCACCTGGGTGCAGGTGGACTGAGTCCAAAAAGAGAGTCAGGGAAGAGAGAGAGGGGTGAGGTCACTTTATAGGAGTTGGGTCGGTAGTGGAAAATCACAGTCAAAGGGGTTGTTCTCTGGCAGGCAGGGGCGGGAGTCACAAGGTGCTCAGTCGGGGAGCTTCTGAGCCAGGAAAAGAAATTTCACAGGGTAATGTCATCAGTTAAGGCAGGAACTGGCCACTTTCACTTCGTTTGTGATTTTTCACTTGCTTCAGGCAATCTAGAGGTATAAGTGCAGGCTTGGGCTCAGAGGCCTGACATTCCTGTCTTCTTATATTAATAAGAAAAATAAAACAAAATAGTGTTGAAGAGTTGGGGCAGCAAAAATTTTGGGGGGTGGTATGGAGAGATAACGGGCGATGCTTCTCAGGCTGCTTCAAGCAGGATTAGGGTCAGGGTGGGAACGTAGAGAGGGAGAGATGAAGCTGGAGGAAGGTTTTGTGGTCAGAGGCGATACTGTGGGGTTGTTAGAAGGAGCATTTGTCATATAGAATGATTGGTGATGGCCTGGATGTGGTTTTGTATGAAATGAGAAACTAAACAGAAAACACAAAGTCCAAATAAGAGAAAGAGAAAAACAGGTATTAAAAGACTAAGAAATTGGGAGGACCCAGGACATCT